GTATTTAACTATTGCCCCTAGTGGCCTTCTTCCCTTCAGTTCACCATGAACACAGGCAGTGGAATGCAAATATGATTATACACATCCTCCTTAGAATTTTAATGGGCCTTCCCAGCTTACTGAGGGACATCCAAGCGCCTTCACAAGGACTTTTTTTTTCAGTCTCCTGTCTTTTCACTAGGTCAGTGAATTTCCTCTTTTTTTGCTCTCTTCCATTTTGTGTAATGGGCTTTTTCTTTTTTGTCTCTCTTTTTCATAAACTGTTCCCTTGATCTGGAACAATACTCCTTTGACTCAGTGGGTTGAGTTTTCCCTTACCTCGTATTTCAGCATACAGTTGGTGTTCTTCAAGGACAGGGATGTGACTGGCTTGCTTCCCCAAACCTCTCCTACATGCCCAGGACAGTGCCCCACACAACGCTGGGAGTAAAGGCGCTCCCAGGTCACTGGGCGTCCAGCCCCTGTAGATGCAATCCAGTGCCTCTTTCCAGAAGGCTTCTGGGGGAGGGCTCGAGCTGGAGCACATGAAAAACCAGGGCCGCTCCAGCGTCTGCCTTCCTTCTCAGGTAACATGAGACTGCTCAAGGGTGGGTGGGTGGGGTTCCCAAAGGGAGAAGCCGTGGCTGTGCCGGTACCAGGTAGAGTCGGGGTCGTCCATAAGGCCACGAGGGACTCGGGGTCGCATCCTCTGAGACCACTGTTTCAAGGTGGCCAGGGAGCGTTGCAACGATTCTGGTTATTACAGTTATACGAAGCCAAAGTGTCAGAGGTGTTTGAACCAGAGCAACTCCATCTTGTGTTTTTATTATCATTATTTGCTGTTGTTGTTGTTGTTGTTTTTTGAACAGTCTCGCTCTGTCGCCCAGGCTGGAGTGCAATGGCACCATCTCAGCTCACTGCAACCTTCACCTCCCAGGTTCAAGCAATTCTCCTGTCTCAGCCTCCTGAGTAGCTGGGATTACAGGTGCGCACCACCATGCCCGGCTAATTTTTCTATTTTTAGTGATGGGGTTTCATCATGTTGGTCAGGCTGGTCTCAAACTCCTGACCTCATGATCCGCCAGCCACAGTCTCCCAAAGTGGTGGGACTACAGGCGTGAGCCACCACGCTCGGCCTTGTTTTGTTTTTTTGAGACACAGTTTCACTATGTTACCCAGGCTGGAGTGCAATGCCAAGATCTTGCCTCACAGCAACCTCCGCTTCCCGGGTTCAAGTGATTCTCCTGCCTCAGCCTCCCGAGTAGCTGGGATTACAGGCGCCCGCTACCACACCCGGCTAATTTTTGTATTTTTAGTAGAGATGAGGTTTCACCATGTTGGCCAGGCTGGTCTCAAACTCCTGACCTTGGGTAATCTGCCCGCCTCGGCCTCCCAAAGTGCTGGGATTACAGGCATGAGCCACTGCTCCCAGCAACTCCATCTTAAACAAGAGCTGGGTAAAATAAGGCTGAGGCATACTGGGCTGCGTTCCAAGACCGTTAGGCATTCTAAGTCACAGTATGAGACAGGAGGTCAGCATGAGATACAGGTCATAAAGACCTTGCTGATAAAAGTTTACAGTAAGGAAGCCGGCTAAAACCCACCAAAACCAAGATGGCAATGAGAGTGACTTCTGGCTGTCCTCACTGCTACAACTTCCACTGTCAGAGGTGGTTGAACTAGGGCAACTCTATCTTGAGTACGGGTAGATAGAGTTGGGTAAAATAAGGCTGAGACCTGCTGGCCCGCATTACCTGGAGGTTAAGGCATTCTTAGTCACAGGATGAGATATGAGGTTGGCACAAAATACGTGTCATAAACACCTTGCTGATAAAACAGGTTGCAGTAAACAAGCCGACTAAACCCACCAAAACCAAGATGTGTGATGAGAGCGACCTCTGATTGTCCTCACTGCCCACTAGTGGCCATGGCAACATCAGAAAGTTACCCTGTATGGTCTAGAAAGAGGAGGCATGAATAATCGACCCCTTGTTTAGCATATAATCAAGAAATAACCACAAAAATGCGCAACCAGCACCCTCTGGGCTGCCCTGCCTATGGATTAGCCATTCTTTATTCCTTTACTTTCCTAATAAACTTGCTTTCACTTTATGGATTCGCCTCGAATTCTTTCTTGTGCGAGATCCAAGAACCCTCTCTTAGAGTCTGAGATCCAGACCGCTTTCCAGTAACAAAAGGTCTCGGACTGAAGTACTGACTCCACAGTCTTTAAGTATCCTAGTTATTTAATAGTTGCGGTCTCGGGCTCTTGTTGGGCCGCGGTGGGTTCTGGGAAGTGTAGTTCGCCTGAGTCTCCAGTTCCTTGTCTCTGGGCGGTGTGTGCACGCCAGCGAGGCACTGTGGGAGTCGTAGTACGGGAGGAAAACCCTACACCCTCTCTCGCGGGCCGCAGGAGTTTGGGGGAATCTAGTCGCTAAAGCCCTACATAGTCTTCCGGCTTTGGGCGTGGCCGCGATGCACTCTGGGAGTCGTAGTAGGGGAAGACAGTCCTCCGCTCTTTTGCGCAGGGTCGCAGGAGGTTCTGGGAAGTGTAGTTGCCTGAAGCTCGTGTTCTTTGTCTTTCGGTGATGTGCGCGTGGCCTCAAGGCACCCTGGGAGTTGTAGTGGGGCGGGGAAAGTCATTTGCTTTCTCCAGCGGGGTCGCGGTTGTTTCTGGGAAGTGTGGCTGCCTGAGTCCCGCGTTCTTCGCTTCTCCGCTGGTTGTGCGTGTGGCCGAGAGGCACGCGGGGAGTTATAGGAATCGAAAGCCCTGTGTAGTCTCCCGCGGGGGGCCACGGTTGTTTCTGGGAAGTGTGGTTGCCTAGGTCCCGAGTTCTTTGTTTCTAGGCTCTGGGGTGGGAGGATAGCCCTATGCTCTGGAGCGCGGAGCCGCGGTGCCTTCTGGGAATTGTAGTTGTCCCAGGCCCTCGTTCTTTGTTTCCTCGCGCGGGAGCGCGGCGCTCTGGGAGATCCAGTAGGAACGAAAACCTTATGCCCTTTCGCGCAGGGCCGCATTGGTTTCTGGGAATTGTAGTTTTTGAGGCAGGCGGGCTGGTGGGGTGACGTCCGCGAGGCTTCTGAAGACGCATTCCTGCGACGCCCGCGGTGGGGCCCTCGGGGGCGGCTCCGAGCGTCTGGCCTCTGTAGGCAAGGAAAGGAGCCCCCCGGTCTGCGCCGGATGGCCCCGGGCGGTGACTCGGTCCGGAGCCCCGGAACGCTACACCCACCTGGCCGGAAGCACAACGGAAACGCGCCGTCCTGTGGCCACCGTTAGGTGGCCGGGTTCTGGGGAGGCGCGCCGTGGTAGGGGAAAGCCGGCGCCGGTGGTCCAAGCGCCCTCTCTCGGGGCCCCGCTCTCTACGTGGGAGGCGCGGAGCGGGGGCCACGGGAATCCCCAGTGCGGGATCTAGTGACTTGGGCGCGGCCTCGCTGGCCCGTTCGCTCAGGGCTCCTTCTCTCTCTGCCAGGTCTGCCATTTTACACTTTTCTGATCTCCTCGGTGCCTTCTGTGAGCTATGTCTCAGGTAAGCTGATGATATATATTGATATATATATATTTTTTTTCTTTGAAAGACAGAGACAGGGTCTCCTCCTGTCGCCCAGGCTGGAGTGCAGTGGGGCGATCTGAGGCCAGGATCGGCGCCACTGCACTCCAGCCTGGGCGGCAGAGCGAGACTCCGTCTCAAAAAAAAAAAAAAAAAAGAACACATATCAATAAATGGATGAAGGGCGCTGACTAACGCAAAGCACTCCTCGTTCTAATACGTGTGGGAAGAAGAGGCACATGTAACAGCTGGCACCGCCACCCTCCCACCCCTAAAACGATACCAGCCAGGTCAGAAATCCCGCCCACACTCTGGATAGCTTCCTGTCACTCTCTCCTCATGTATACTGTAAGATAAGCACCTGAAAAGGAGAACAGGGACAGGGTCCTGGGGTTCCCGCCAGGCAGGTGGTTGTAAAGTAGAAAGCACGTCCCAAGTCCTGAAAATACGGCTGCACTTCACAAAGAGAAAGAGGAGACAGGCCCAATGGGTTGGCTCACTTGAAGGCCAAGAGTTTGAGGTTACAGGATGCAGTAATCGCCCCACTGCAC